AATTTCATTAATATTTATATTTAAACTCCAATAATTTTTAAAATTTAAATTATAAATATAATTTTATCATACATTGCTGTGACAAGCAACGAGGCATGGACATGATCCGAGGTAAATGACGAAACTGTGACAGATGCACTGACGGTCTGAGCATAGCCAGAATACGCAGAAAGCCCTCTGATATCCACAATTATACGGCTTCCAAACTGACCTGCGGGAAACGATGCAAAATATTTCAAAACTACCCATTGCAAGTATTATTCGTTGTTCGTTGTGGGTGATCAGCTTTAAAGAACGGCTTAAACGAAGAGCCATGAATCACCACGGCTGAAGCTGACGAAAGATGCGCAAAGTTCTTGAAGCTAATCGTACGCTGCTAAGCTTAGCCCAGAGACTGGCAGTTGGTGAGAAGACAGATCATTAGTAATAAATGATCACCAATGTACCTATGTTAACGACGTCGTCGAGAAGGACGCGGTCCAAGAAGCACTACGTGTGACAACGCATGACGCACGATGGACCGTTTCGGTCGGTGTGACCCCCTGAGGGCCGGCAAAAAGAGGCTTGAGTAATAGCGCAACGGTCAACCACTTACCAAAAACAACGTTCTCGTTCTCGATAACGACACAATGGTCAGGACAACGTTTACGCCCGACTTTGTACTGATCGAACGCGCCTGAGTTGCAGTGGTTGGTAAACACCTCCGGGCGTTGGTACAGCATCGACAGACCGGCGTCGAACCACATGCTTTCGTACAGCGTCGACATACAGCTGTAGCACTCCATTGTGTACCTCACTGAAAAGAAAATTTGACTTATTACGATTACACGATTGCTAATTGATTTATGCAAGACAGCAGCATAATTCGTAAATCATTCTTTTTCCAGTTAGGCATGCATGTAATCCCTGAAATATTAATAAACATTAAAAATCACTGATTAATTGATTAATTGTCCAATTTGGCATAAGTTCAATTGAGCCAACAATCACTTACGTGACTTGTTCTTTCCTGTTGCTTACTTCAAATGTTTCTTTAATATAATTCTTGTGATTTCTTTCTGCCTTTTCCGTTTAACTGTGTTTCAAGCACGTTCTTGTATATTTTTCGTTTGCTGGTGTTTGAGTATGCCATCGAACCATCTCAGTTTCAAACTGGCGAAACGAATATCGAAACTGCATGTACCTCTCTCCGTGCGGAAGGGCCAAGTATGGGCAAGATTTAACTATATTTTTGCACTAGCCAAACCTTAATAATCTAGTATTCCATGGCATAGTCTGATAAACTAAATACCAGATAAACTAGCAATTATTATCATGCGGATTTTCGACCTCTTGTAGAGAATTTCAGTTCGAGGTCAATGATATTCAGCAGCATGAAGATGAAATTGTTACACTATAGAGTTATTATGAACAATTCATCCAAGGCCATGTTTCACGGCGTGCTGCATCATCAGTTGCCTAAGGGCATTAAAGCAGATCTTGGTTTCGTGATATTACAGCATCTGCAGTGCCAGATACATCCTCCATC